TATTCGAGCTTCTGGAAGTGTTATGCCTCCACTCTTCATTTTCAAGGGAAAAATGTTTCCAGAGCATCTACGCCCCTTTCTCCTTTTGAATCAAAAAGGAGCACGTCTCACTATGAGTGTAAATGGCTGGACTACCAATACAATTGGTTTATGGTGGTTGAAACACCTTTTTATTCCAAATATTGGGACAAGAGTGGGAAAATATTGCCTACTGGTCCTCGATGGCCATGGGAGTCATTTGACCCCCGAATTTGACCAACTTTGCGAAGAAAACCAAATTATCGCAATCTGCATGCCTCCTCATGCCTCTCACCTTTTACAACCTTTGGATGTGGGCTGTTTTTCGGTTTTGAAGAGGCTTTATGGAGGAGCGGTTTCAACCTTGATGCGGAATGGAGTGAACTCTATTGATAAGGAGGATTTCCTTGAAATAATCGCAGATGCGAGAATTGGTGCTTTTAAGACCTCTACTATACAAAATAGCTTTTCAGCTACTGGATTAGCACCATTCGATGCTAATAAAGTCTTGGAAAAGCTAAATGTGCGCCTGGATTCTCTTCCTCCTTTCGAGATCATCTCTCAAAGACCACTCTCTTCCGGTAGTGATAGTGATCCAAATACTCTTTGGACTCTCTCAAAATTCACAAAATCGCAATCTCGGATCAAAAAAGGTCTAGAATCTTCTTCTTCAATCCTTTCTTCACCAACAAAAAGGGAGATTGAGAAGACCTACAACATGACTATCAAAGTGGTCCACCACCATATTTTTCTCCAGAATCGCTGCGCCCAGCTAGAGGCTACCAATAAGAAACAGACCAAAAAAAGAGAGACAATACCAAAATTTACTACCCAGAAAGGCATCTTTGGGGGTCTAGAGGGTGGTGAAGATGATGTGGTCTACAAGGATGAAGATGTAAGTAAAGATATATATTTACCAGAGGTATCTACAAATGCGGTTGTTGAGCCTACCTTACCTTCTATGCCTATAATTCGGCGGCAAATGACATGTTCTGGGTGCGGGATAAAAGGGCATACATATACTTACTGCCCTACTCGCTTTAGATAACAAAATTTATGTCGTTTTTGTGGTTTTAATAGTCATTGAAAATTGGTGATTTTTGAAAAGTTGGTGGGGTCGCTCGCGCGGCCGTGTCGCTCGGGCGACCGTGGATCACGTTAGCCTAATAGATTATCTAATAGGCCTATCTCATAGGGGGTCGTGATCTATATACTATAGATTTTATCTACTATACTATATTATATAAGCTACCCTCTTATATAATTTAGAGATATTGGAAATCCTTAGAAGAAAATCATATACTATCTAATATCTAATATTAAATTTTTATTACCATAGTAACTAGATTTAGATAGATCAATAATAATTTATACTATTATACCCTTTTTTTTACTGCCTATCTTAGCCTAATCACTCTATCTACTATAATCTACCCTACTCTACCCTAAAATACCATAAAAATAGCTTCTAATTCTACTATCTCTACTTACAGAAGTAGATTATATCCTTTTCTCTAATCTTTTATAACTAATAATAACTTAATTTAGAGCTTCTTCTACCCTCTAACGCTTTATATATTACTCGAGATAATTAATCGAATCCGTCTAGAAGTATACTCTCTCTTAGGGCTATTATACTACTATAAAAAGTAGTAATTCTAGTAAGGGTTAATATACTTACGCAAACCTTTTAATCTAATATATTAAATTAAGTATATCTTTTCGGCCAATTAATGGGCTAATTATAGGCCGAAATCCTTAGGAAATAACCTTAAACCGTCAAATTTACCTCTTTAGGCTATATATAGGTAATAAAATAGGTAAATAGGAGCTCTAGATATATAATTCATTATATAATCACCCTACTAATAATCTAATAGTATTCTACTGAGCTTAGAAGCTTAATTCTACTTAGATTAATAAGATTAAAGACCTAAATTAGATTATTTCTACCCCTAGAGATATAATCAAATTACTCTATTTATCAATAGATTAACCGATAATCTTATAATATATATATAACTAAAAAGTAAAATTACTCTAAGATAAGCATAGATATTAGGGAGAAATAGAGTATTTTCTCAAAAGTTTATATATTAAAAGATATACATATAGATTATCTTTATTATCTAATAATAAAATCGAGTCTTTAGCCCTTACTAACCCTAAATCTATTAATCTTACTAATAAATATTACAGGGTTTTCGTTCTTAATTATACTTATAAGACTAATAAGTATAGTATACCTCTTTTAGAGATTATTAGTATAATTCTCAATAACTAGACCTTCTTATTTACTACTTAGTTTATATGAAATTAGAGTAAAGAAGGCTATAAGTAGGCCCTATAAATCTTATTTTTAGATTTTATCTATTTATCTAATGTTTTAGTATTAATTACTAATAGAGCTTTAGTACTTATTTAGACCTCGCCATGACCCTCAAACGGGTCCAAGGTCAAGACCCTCCACCCGACCCGCGTGAGGGTCGGGTCCAACCTTAGGGACCCTCACCCGACCCTTACCCGCAGAGGGTTACTTATGGCTCACCCGCACTCACCCTCACCCACCCGTTTCTGCATAACTTTTCTTAACATTTCCTAATTAGGATAGATAAAATTGATGAGTCATATACATAAATTACAATTACATACAAAAAAAAGTGCATAAGATATTGTTTGACTTGTTTGCTCACCCGCGGGTAACCCGAGGGTGACCCTTTACGGGTGAGTATAATACTAGAACCGACCCGCGGGTAGGAGGTCAGGACCCGTCACCCGCAAATTGGAGGGTCGCGGGTCACCCGTTGCGGGTCACCCACGGGTCATGGCGAGGTCTATACTTATTAGGGTAATTAAAGACCTTTTTCCTAATATTAGCTATTTATTATATATTTAGTATGTTAAAAAAGCTATTTTTACTAAAGTATATAAATTTATATACTAAAAATTAGTAGATTAACCCTAAGATAACCTAAAAAATATAGAATTTAAAGATAAAGAGAGACCTTTATTTATCTAATATATTAGAAGAATATAAGTTAAGACTATATGACCTTAAAACTAAGTTTAACTACCCTAATCTAATCCTTTATCTTAAAAGAATATAGCTAATCTATAAATAGAAATTTATCCGCTATTATACTCTGAATATTATCTATTTTAGTAATTCTATAAGCTCTTAGTCTAAGGGTATTTATATAAGGCTTAAGTCCTATATTTATAGCTTAAATAATAATTTTCTTACTATTTTTAGTACTATTAATATTATTATTAATAGCTAATTAGATAAAATCTGTAAAGAAATAGCCGAAATTTAATATAATTCCGCTTTTTAGCTACCTTCGGTCCTATCTCTCCCTATATACTTTATAGAAAATTAATAATTAAAAGTAGTAAGCCCTAAGAAAGAGACTAATAGGTGTTTATACCTATTAATTTACTAATTTAATAGGTCTACTCTATAAGTATATAATCTATCAGTTATTTAAGGTTAATTAGCTAATAGGACTTAATAAAATTAATCCTTTTTTTAGGTTACTCAACTATCTATAGCTAAATATCTCTTTAGTTCTACTATCTTAGATCTCTTTATAGCTAAAAAAAAGAGGAAAATTAGAGAAAAAGATCAAAGGAAATTATAGAAATATTAGAGAGAAAGGGGCCTAAGGCCCCTAGTAAGTACTTAGGGTATAGAGAAATAGGGTATACTATTAGAAGTTACCCTTTATAGAAAATTTGATTTATTCCTATATTTATAATTTAATATCGGACGTTAAATAGTATATGATTTTCTTCTAAGGATTTCTAATATCTCTAAATTATATAAGAGGGTAGCTTATATAATATAGTATAGTAGGTAAAATCCGTAGTATATAGATCAAAACCCTCTAATAGGCTTACTAAAGCCTAGTTAAAAGCCACTAGGACTAATAGACTATAGACTAGGAGATATAGTATATAGTCTTTAAAGCCTATATAGAGAAGTGGGATATATCAAGTCCTAGCTAGATGCTTAATATAGCTAAGAAAGTAGATAAAACTATAAAATAGATAATAGATATAGTAGTAGTAATATCTATAGATACTATCCCTATATAGAGAATCTACCCCAGATACTTATATCCTATATATATACCTACGCTTAGACTGCGGCATATCCTCTCCGCTGGATATCAGGTTCAATACCATATCCGCAAATTGAGGATATCCATGGATATCCGCGAGGATATGAGGATATTTTGCGGATATCCGCACTAGCATAACTCTCGCCTGATTATCTACTTAGGGGTAGTCATGTGCCTCTTATCCAGCTGATTAATTTATTTTTCAGAACAAAAGATACACAGGTTTGGTCCTGACCATACTACTAGCCTTATTTATCCTAATTCCTCATGAAATATTAAGAAATACATTTGTATTAAGCAACTTATATTCATTTTATTATTACTTATAGCAGCAATTTGATTTTTGAAGTAGATTGGGGGATATACATGATTTTTTGTAATTCCACTTTACTTTACCATGGAAATATATATTTACTCAAGGCAGTAGTGTAGGATCTTTTAGCTAAACGATGTACATATGACTAAACTCACCATTTCTTGGTCAAATTTAACTAGCCTAGCTTTAAATTAGTTTCCTAAGCCTATCTTTTAAGTATATTAAGTTTTTAAATATATCCTTCTAAGAAATACCGGTCGGAAGCTCTAATGTTGTGGACAGCGGACTTAGTGAGTATGATAGTAAGGTCGAGGATATCCAAGGATATCCATGCGGATATCCGCGATATATCCTCAATTATCCTCAATTATCCTCACTGGTGATTAGTAATAGCCAATCATCGTCATTAAAAGTAAGAGATATGTCGAAAACGCACCCCGCAACTTACGAGTTGCAGCTTATTGCCATAACCCTGATATTTTCAGCTCGTCCTATATGTACGTTTCTCCCTTTCTTTCTCTTGTATAGTGATCAAGTACAATATGTCTTACTCACAGGCATCTCAGTCCCAATTTTCCTTCTGCGCCGATTCAGATCTAGGTCTGAATACCGACCTCCTTAATTCAGATGATATCTCTGAGCTCATTGGCAGTCAGGCTTCATTGACATCCACGTCCCGAATTTCATTTCCGATTGCGCCCCTCTCGCTTACGCGTGTTGGCCTCCCTCTTCAACAGTACTGGGTCCTCTATTCCTCCGAGCCTGGTAGCGAGATGGATGGATCTCGTAAGCGCTTTATAACGTGGTGGCTAAATACAGAGTCTGGATCAGCGCCCGAAATACAAGACTCGATCCGTTGGGATGGGAAAAAGACATCAAGTGTCTGGGATAATTTCAATCAGGTTGCACATGAGAAGACTGGCAAGCCAAAGGTTATGTGTACATCATGTCTCTGTACCCTTTGTTCATCCAAGCTATCGCCGTGCTGGGTCATCGCCAATGAATGCACATATTAAGGCAGGCACTTGTACTCGGAAGCCAGTTACCCAGAGGATCGATCAGCTACTCAAACATATGGTATATTTCTCTTTCATCAAGACCCCTAATATCTCTCTTGCTAATCTTAATAACTATCCCAAAGCCAACTATCCCTAGACACCAACCCTTCTCCCAGGAGCGTCTGGTGAAAGCGATACTAGACTTCATTTCTACAGCTCACCTACCCTTCCGAATCGTTGAACACACCCAATTCAAAGATCTAGTAGAGATTATTCAACAAGCCCACAGCAAGATCGATATACCATCCGCGCGAAGCATACGACGTTATCTTGATTCTGCAGTCAGAAGTGACCAGAAGGGGGTTCTGAAAAGGCTTCCAGATGGGAGTCGCCTCTCACTAGCGCTTGATTGCTGGACATCGCCATTTCAGCAAGCTTTCATGGCCATCACAGGTTACTTCCTTGATCAGGACTGGAATTACTGTGAAGTTCTTCTTGGGTTTGAGCATCTTCATGGATCTCATACTGGTGAAAATCCGAGCAAGACCGTAATCCAGCTTCTAACTGATCATGGAATCACTGATCGTGTGTTATCTGTGACAACAGATAATGCAACGAATAACAATACCTTGATGATGAACATCCAAGAGACTATCCAGTCGCAAAGCCAATCAGATACCTTGATTTTCCGAGTTCCATGTATTGCGCATGTGATTCAATTAAGCTTGAATGAGCTTCTTGGGAAGCTAAAGGTGACACCACCTAACAAAGAGATTGAACTAGAGTGGTCTGATGAGCGGACCCATTCATTTCAGACCAAAAGATCTAGCTCAACTCGGCAAATTGCAGATACCTTAAAGAAGGCAAGTTCTATCTCCCTAAGGCTTGTAGTTTATTCTGATAAAAGAGTTTTAGATCCGAGGTCTTGCGGTCTTCATCAATGCAAGCCCACAACGCCGGGAGGCATTTATGGCTCTACAAACTAAGGAGCCTCGTTTAGTTCCTGTTCAAGATGTCCAAACCCGATGGAACTCGACCTTTATCATGCTGAATCGGGCCAAAAGGCTACAACCATTCTATGATCAGTATTGTATAGACCATCAGTATCTTCACTTCAAACTTGATCAAGAAGAGTGGCGACAGATTGAATACCTTCTTCTTCTCACAAAGCCTTTCTTCGACTTCACAAATATGTTGTCTAAGACTAAGGATGTTACTACACATAACATCTATAGTATTTACAACAAGCTTTTCTCTCATCTTGATGAAGCTGAGAGTAAGTTGAAGAATAAAGGTGTTGTCTGGAAGAAGCACATGCTCGAAGCTCTTCAGACTGCTAAACGGAAGCTCTCAAAGTACTACACTGCGACCGATTATGAATCATATGGTGATGTCTATGCACTCGCGACAATCCTTTGCCCATCAAAAAAACTTCGATATTTTGCATCATCAGACTGGCAAGGTGAAATTAACTATGTTGATCACTATCATGGAGTTCTTAAGCGAGAGTTTGATCGATATAAAGAGACACTTCACCATGATTCAAACAATACAGTCTTACAAGATACCACTAAAGAGGCCCTGGATGATGATTATGGTGATCTTGATGCTGCTTGTGCTTCTCAGAGCCAGCCACAGCATAGGCTCTCAAAGCCCGAAGATGATGAGATTGCGAGGTATCTTGCCCGCGGGATCGAGGGTCAGAAGCCTAGAGCATTCTGGAAAGACCATGAGCATGAGTTTCCTATTCTTGCGAGGATAGCACGGGATAATCTCTCAATCCCAGCTAGTGGCGCAGGCGTTGAGCGATTATTTAATTGCGCTCGCGATATGTGCCACTATCGTCGCGGGCAATTGAAACCAAGTACCATCCGAGGACTGATGCTTCATCAATTCGCCACTAACTTTGACGTTGAGCAGAAGGAGATAGAGGTTATCAAGGAGTATCTATCCATTGGAGAAGCTGCGTTGTTAGATCAAGCTTGGAAACCAATGCCCCAGCTTGAAACACTTGAGCCAATTAGTGATAACGAAGAGGAGGATCAAGAGCCTAGCATAGAGGATACACAACAGATAGAGAGCTGCGATGATGATTTGGGTAGTGGGAAGAATAATGATCAAAGTAAGCAACTGCAGCGCAAACGATCAAAGAAACGATCATCCGAATGTTTTGATGACGATGACGATGACCTTCCAGAAATGCCAATAGATGAGGGCATGCAGGGACGGTCGGGGCGAATTCGGAAGCAACCTAGGTTACCTGATGGATTTCAGATTGATTTAAGGTAGTTAGTATTAAGTATTGATTAGAAATGACAGAATCATGTTTACCAGATTGAAATCTTTAAAATGATGATTACACGAAGATTACTTCAAAAATACACAAGAAACCGCATAATTTATACACGCTCAAAAAAGTCACGAGGCTAGGCGTGTTTGGCTGGTTTGATATCCATTGGATATCCTCAAATATCCAGAGGATATTAGGTGGTATACCATATCCGCAAAATTGAGGATTGCGGATATTACGTGACATACCATATCCGCAATTTGCGGAGAGGATATGCGGATGTCCGTGGATATTGAGGATGTTGCCGCAGTCTAAGTTTTTAGCTACTAATCAATGAAATTTCGACTTTCTATCTTTATCTAGATAGTATATTTAAAAGTTTGAAGTTTAATAGTCTAAATTACTAGTAGGAGGGGTAGTAGTAGTAGTAGGACTATAGGGAGTATAGTAGCTGAATAGATAATATAGAATCAGATAGATCAATACCATTATAACTATCACTATAAAGTAATAATTAAGATATATAGGGTATATATAAGGGGTAGGTAAAAGAGAAGAATAAGAGAATAATAAGAGAAGAGAGTAAAAGGGGTAGATTATACTAAGTGGGGCTAGTATTTACTAAGAAAATTTTCCTAAGTCGAATAATTCGAACCTTTCATCCGAACTTTTATACTATTTCTAGCTATTCTATTAATTGAATAAAGAATATAGATAATAGGGGGTCTAATTCATTAGATTCTACTTTAAAATAATTCAAAAACGCACTTTTAGGGTAAATTTAGTACTAAAGATGGTATGACTAGAAATATAGTAAGGGTATATATATATAAAATATATATCTTTATACCTAAGTAGGGTTATTAACTACTACTCTATAATATACCCTATACCCTACCTTTATCTATTAAAAATAGCTATTATACTAATAAAGATATATATTTTCTATCTATAAATAGGGATATTTCATAAAAATATAATAGAGAAGATAGATAATAGGGTAGGTAGTATGTATTTTGACGAAAACAGGGGTAATTAACATAATTAATTTCGGATAAGTCATTAGATTATGCAAGAAAAATCAGGCAGAAACTAGCAAAATCAGGCCCCTACGGACTTTTTTAGGCCCGTGGGTATGCCTATTATAGATATGGATAAGGGGTCTCTGTCTATGGATAGGCCTGTGATAAAGCCTACCTTAATAATCTATAAGCTAGAGTATACTTCGATAGAGATATGGATAATAGAGGATACTACTAATAGAGTAAGAGCTATAGCTATCTAGTAGAGCTAAGAGCCCTAGAGATAGTTAATATAGATTATCTTAAGCTATTTAGTATATTAAGGGTACTCTTATTTAAAGACAAAGTAGTTAATTTTAGCCTTAGCTTCTTTCACTATAGTTTTATTATATCTAATATATATAGTATACTTTATAGCTATATAGTTATAGATATATATATATATATTCCTTAGAGTTATAAAATCTAGTATAGTATATATAGTAGATCTCTCTTCTATAGTTATAGATAATATAACTATATAATTAGTACTAGAAATACTACTATAGCTAATAGCTATTACTAAGAAACTAGTAGTTATAATCCTACCTCTATAGCGCTTAATTAAGAAGAATAGCTTAATCTACTATATCTAGATTACTAAATTTGATTACTAGCTTAATAGTAATAATAGCGCTAGTAGTTATTAATCACTTCTAAAGATCTTATATATTTCTAGCTAATATATACAATACTAGTAGTTAAGAGGATATAATAGATATTATATATACTATTATAGTAGAGAAGTATATTACTACTAGATAGTATAAAGCTAGTAGATATCCTAATTAGGGTGATCTTAGCTTTATTATAGATGATATAGATAGCCTAAATAGCCTAATAGACTATTTTCTATACTTTCTAATATAGTAGATTAACTGGAGAGTATTCTATACCATAGATAATTAGCTATAGATCTTTATATAGTACTTACTACTATATAAGAGCGCTACTAGTACTAAGGCTAGTACTATTAGTTAAGAGTATACTATTAGTATAAGCTCTATTTGGCTAGCTAGAGATAAGAGAGGATTTAGTATTGCTATAAAATATAGCTTAATAATCTATTAGCTAATAGGGGCTAGTAGATACTATAGTAGTAATAGCTATAATAGCCTAAGTATTAATTAATACCTATAATTTATAATAAAGATTTAGCTTATTGACTAGTATATTTATTAAAGATAGTATATAGGCGCTATAGCTCTATTATAGTTTACTATTAATTATTCTCTTAGCTAGAGAGATTATAGTTCTTATCTATATTAGACTTCTATAGTATAGCCATCATTAGTATTTTTATTACTATAGTATATAGATTATAGCTACTTTTAATTATTAGGGCTTCCGGCTAGCTTATAGCTACTATATTATAAGGTATTAGCTAGGCGATCAGCCCCTTTTTTAACTTTTTCGCTATCGCGGGGTATGAAACTACGCCGTTAGTATATAGCGGGTAACTGACGATATATATGTCGAAATTAGTTTAATCGAACCATAGAAATAAGACGCTTAATTTACTGTCTACTAATAGGCATATAGGCTACTGTAGCTATAGGGCGCGTTTTATATAAAAGAGTTAAGGTTGAGTTATTTACTATTCTTAAGAAAATCTAGGAAAAATATTTAAATCATAATTGTCTATTAAAATATCTTTTTAGATCTATATTTAGATATTAAAGATATCTTCAATCTTTATATATAAGTATCCTATCTTAATAAATTATATTAATATATATTATAGTTATAGATCTTGAAGTATTACTATCCAAATAGTCTTTCTTTCTAGCTAAAGAGTCTATTAATAATATACTCTTTAAACTAAAAAGTTAATAAGAGTATAGTTATAGTTAGGATTAATAATAAAAACAGACCATTAAATTAAATTTAGTATCTCTTAAAGATTAATATACAAAAAGATAGTCTCTATTAATCTTTAACAATATATTTATAGTTGTCCAGATTAATATTTTACCAATTTAATCTTTTAATAAGAGCTTTATAGTAATATTTAAGATTTATATCTTTTTTATATTAAAGAATAGATATAGGATAACTATGGGGCTTAATATAGAAATTCAGTTAATTTTAGACTAATAGATATACCAATAGAAGAGAAAGATAGATTTTAGATTCTAGGGTAAGGATTTTAGGGTTAGCTTTGAGAATTGTGTAATCTATAGGAGTCTTATTAAGGAAATTATGACTACTTTTCTAATTGAGATTGGAGTTATATCTATAGACTAGAGCCTTAAAATATATAATTTTATCTTTATTAGCGCCTATAGAAGCTATCTTAAAGAATTAGATATATATATAGAAGGGGTTATATAGGTAGATAGACTTAGAAAATAAAAAAAAATAAAATAGTAATAAGATATATATAGTAATATATTTAAAAGATAAAAATTATTTCCTATTTTTTTAGGGGAGTAACTATATTAATCTAGGGAGTAACTATATAAATTCCTTTGCTTATATATTAAAGAACAGTGAAAGATTAAATATCTTAATATGAATTTATCCAACTAGATAAACTAGGACTAAATAGTTTCCTAATAAAGTATTAGAAGTAAAAATATTAAATATATTAATTAAGATATTTATACCATTCAAGAAGATTAATTAAGAATAACAAAATTTCTGAAGGAGTATAAAGAGGAATATTAATCCTTTATAAATGGGATATAGATCTATCTTAAGAATATATATTAAAACTTAAAACGATAGTATATAGCTTCTTACATTATACTTATTATTCTAAGAAAGATTATAATCTTAGATCTTTAGGGGATTTAAATATAAAGCTATACTAATAATAGATAGGGATAAATATAAGGCTAGAAGTAAATGAATGTGTTTTGCTTTTTAATTGAAGTAGAGAGATATCTAATATAGGTCTAAATAAAAATAGATACTCTCAAAATATCTTATAAAATACTATATTAACATTTAATATAGAATTGAGGTATTATAGATCCACTAGTTATTTTAATATTAGATAAACTACTATCAAGAATATCTAATTATTCTAACTTTGTAAAGTAGGAAGAGTTACTAGTAAATTGAATAAATAATTATAAAAGAATCTGGCTTATTCTAATAAGACTATGATCAAATCAGAAGAAGATAATATTAAATATACAACTAGGTTAATTAATTTACAATACTTATTATCTTAAGAAATAGGCTATACTATGATCTATTGGAAGTTAGGAACCTATACCTAGATCTACTCTAATCTTCTCATAGATAGGGAGATAGATTAGTCCATTTCATCTATATATAGATTATAAGTTCTTATAGGAAACCTATATAGGTTTATAGATTATCTAATAGATTATTTAATAGGATAAATATATGGAAAGCTTGCTCTTTGTAAATTTGATAGTATTTATTTTTATCTCAAATACTATTAGTATAGCTCTATAATCTTTGAAATAGAATTTTATATCTTACTAAAGTAGATAGTATATAAAGTAAACATATTCAATAAATAGCTAATTACATAGGAAAATCATGATGTTTGTATCTGATATATTCATATACTTTCTCTAATATGTAGTTTTAAATATTCATCTCATCTATAATAGAAAAATTAGATGAATTATATCTACTATAGCCTTTAAGTAACTTGGATCTTTAAGTCTTGTCTTATTCTTATATATTATTCTGCTTCTTATTAATAATTAGATTAAGATTGAATTAATTTAGTCAACTATCTCGCTTTTTTTTACTTTAATTCTTATGATAAACAAGAACTTTTTTTAAGAACTTAGACTTTTTTTTATGTATTAAATCGTGAAGCATAAAAGAATGTTATTGATTTTTAGATACTTAGAATATTTAATCTCTTTTTATAATAGTAGTAAGTGTTATGAATAATACTAAATAGTTTATAAATACTAATATTAAATATTAGAATTGAAAGAGTACCT